GCCGCCAGGTGATCACTCACCGGCTGACCGTCGATCCGGCCTCCGCGCCCGTCAAACAGAAGCGGCGCTACTTGTCCGCTGACAGGCGGGACTTCGTCAAAGGGGAGGTCGCCATGCTCCTATCGATCAAACATATCAAAGAGGTGAAGTACCCAACATGGTTGGCCAACGTCGTCCTCGCACAGAAACCGCCGACGTTCAGAATGTGTGTTGACTACACTGACCTGAACAAGGCGTGCCCCATGGACCCGTTCCCTCTCCCCAACATTGATCAGTTGGTGGACGAGACGGCGGGATGCGAGTTGATGTCGTTCCTCGACGCTTTCAGAGGGTACCACCAGATCTCCATGCACGAAGATGACGCCGAGAAGACGACATTCATGACCCCAGAGGGAATATTTTGCTACCTCGTCATGGCCTTCGGACTCAAAAACTCCGGCGCCACCTATACTAGGATGGTGGCCAAAATCTTCAGAGCGGTCCTTGGCCGGACGATGGAGGCGTACGTCGACGACATGATCGTCAAGAGCAGGCAGGCCACCTCCCACGCCGACGACCTCCGGGAAATCTTTGAAATCATGAAGGAGTTCAGGCTCCGCCTTAACCCCAAGAAGTGCGCCTTCGGCGTCCAGGGCGGCAAGTTCCTTGGCTACATGGTCAGCCGGAGAGGCATCGAGATAAACCCGGAGAAGACGCAGGCTATCATCAACATGGAGCCGCCCCGCAACGTCAAGGGGGTACAACGACTGACGGGGCGCCTGGCGGCCTTGAACCGGTTCCTCTCCAGGTCAGCTGAGAGGGCACTTCCCTTCTTCCAGATTATGCGCAAGGCAAACAGCTTCAAGTGGACGACGGAGTGCCAGGAAGCATTCGACGAATTGAAAAGGTACCTGTCGTCCCCACCCGTACTCTCCAAGCCCAAAGCCGGCGAAACCCTCTTCTTGTACTTAGGGGTGAGCACGTCGGCCATCAGCTCCGTGCTCATCCGTGAGGACGAAGGGGTGCAGAAGGCCATCTTCTACATCAGCAAGACACTCAGGGAGGCCGAGCTCAGGTACTCCCCCATTGAGAAGACGGTGCTGGCCATCGTCCACACCGTGAAGAAGCTGGGGCACTATTTCCAAGCCCACACCGTCCACGTGCTGACCCAGCAGCCTCTTGGCGCGCTCATGAGGAGCCCCACTAGCTCCTCAAGGATGGTGAAATGGGCGATCTTCCTCAGCCAGTTTCAGATTGAGATCAAGCCAAGGCCATCTATCAAAGGGCAAGCCTTGGCCGACTTCGTCATCGAATGCACAGCAAGGGAGACGGCCGTCGCCAACCCCGGGCCGGAGCCGGACGACACGTGGACCCTGTTCACTGACGGCTCGTCGGCCGCGAAATCATGCGGCGGCGGCGTCGTCCTCATATCCCCTGAAGGATTCAGAGCCTACTATGCCATCCGCTTCAACTTCAGGGTATCCAACAACGAAGCCGAGTATGAGGCCCTCCTCAGCGGTCTCAGACTCGCCGCCGGTCTCAAGGCCAAGCACCTCAGCATCAAGTGCGATTCCAAACTGGTAGTGGGCCAGGTGGAGGGATCGTACGAAGCAAAGGAAGGCCGGATGAAGCAGTACAAACAAGCGGCGGAGGAATTGCTGAAAGCGTTTGAAACCCACGAGATCACTCAGATCCCAAGGGCCGAGAACGCCGAAGCCGACATCCTCTCCAAGCTCAGCTCGGACACCCCGGAGCACATCTCCCAGTTGGCCAAGATCGAGGAGTTGAGCATGTCCAGCATCCATGCCAGCCCCGTCTTGTGCGTCCAACAGCGACCAGAGGACTGGATCTCCGACATCGCCACCTTCATCACGACGGGGGAGTTGCCCCCGGACGAGGAGAGGGCCAAACTCGCCAAACTCAGGGCCCCAAGCTACACCATCGAAGATGGCAAACTCTACAAACGGTCCTACAATGGCACTCTCCTCCGATGCCTGCACCAGGATGAGGCCGATACCGCCATGGAAGAAGTTCACTGTGGCGTCTGCTCCTCGCACCAGGATCCTTTCAGCATGTCCCGACGTCTCGTCGTCCAGGGTTTCTTCTGGCCGACGATGGCACGGGACTGCGCTGACCTAGCCAGGAAGTGCACCACATGCCAGGTACTCCAGAAGGCCCCTGGTCGGCCAGCTGTCAACTATGCCCCTGTCAGCACCGCAATTCCATTCTCCAGATGGGGGATTGACCTGGTCGGCCCCCTGCCCAGAGCCGCCGGGAATAACCGCTACATCATCGTCGCCGTCGACTACTTCACCAAGTGGGTCGAGGCGGAACCCTTGGCCAGCATCACGGGGGCCAGATGCCAAAGGTTTGTTTACAAAAACATCATCACACGCTTTGGCGTCCCCCAGGAGATCATATCAGACAACGGCACCCAGTTCGAGGCAGCCCCTTTCCAAGAGCTCCTCCGGGAGTTTGAAGTAAAGCATCGTTTCTCCTCCGTCGCCTACCCTCAGGGCAACGGGCAGGTCGAGAACGCCAACAGAACAATCATGGAAGGGTTGAAGAAGAACCTCCAGGCCGCAGGAGGTAGTTGGGTCGACGAGCTCCCCAACATCCTGTGGTGCTATAGGACCACGCCGAGGAGGGCGACAGGTGAAACGCCTTTCGCCCTGTGCTACGGCTTTGAAGCAAAGGCGCCCACGGAAGTTGCCATCCCCAGCCGGCGGGTGGAGCAATATGAGCCTGACACCAACGAAGAGAATATGAAGATTGACCTACACCTGGTTGATGAGAGGCGTGAGCAAGCTTACGTCCGCGCAGAGAACTACCGGCGTCAAGTAAAATCATACTATGACGCCAAGGTACGTTCCCGGGAATTTCAGGTGGGGGACTACGTCCTCCGCCGAAAGGAAGCAAGCCAGCCGACAGAGGGTGGCAAGCTAGCATTGAAGTACGAAGGGCCCTACATCGTCAGTGCCGTGGTCAAACCCGGCACCTACAAGCTTAAACGCCCGAATGGGTCCAATGTACCACGAACATGGAATGTACATCATCTGGTGAAGTTTTATCAGTAATCCGAAGGAGGTGTAGACGGCGAAGCCCTCACCCCTTAACGGGTTACTGATTGAACGCCACCCTCGGCCTCGAGCCACTTATGAATAAAATCATGTTCTGATTTTTTCTCTGGAATTTAAAGTAAAACATTAGCAGGTGCCCTCGTCGGCCACCTTAGAGCAAAAGGCTCAGGACTGGCCGACATGGCCCCTTGCATTTGCAGCCTACGAGCGACAAGCTCAGGCACTCCATTGTATTTTGTATCAGCGAAGGGCTCAGGCCTAGCTGAGAGAGCACATCGTCCTGGCCCCGTAAGCCTAGAAGTGAAACGCTCAGGTATGGCCGATGATGTCCCCAGGACGAGGGGCCCGCAAACGGCCCACGTCTTGAAACGGGAAGCTCACCGCGTCGTCCACGCGCCAAATCGCAGGACGACAGGCCTGAAATCATGGCCGAGGTGACAAAATCCCAAAACTCAGGGATGGGCAACGACAGCCGTTGGAAACCGACCAAAAGTCTAGCCCGCGTCATAAATAGGCGACGGGACCCGCCCTGAGACCACGGACGTTATAAACGAAGTCCGAACCGGCCGAAGGACGAGCACACCCTTCGGCCGAAGCCTGAAAGAAGGATACCCCCCGAAACGTAAAAAAAAAAAAAGAAAAAAATATATGAGGGAAAAAGAGGGAAGCCGACGGCCGCGCACACTTGCCGGCCTCGAGCAAGGAAAAAATAAAATCCCCACAAATTCAGGCCCATTTTGGCCAAGTACATATCAGTTAAACACAAGTGTATTACCACTGACAGGCAACATGGACGACACGTCCACACACTACAACGGAACAATCAAGGCCGATACACACGCCTTTAAAACCCTAACCACATCGGTTGGGTGACACGCGAGAGGTGACCTTCCTCGGCCATAGTCCTTTGAGGCACCAACGTTTGGTATGAAACAAAGCATCGCAATCCTGAGGATGACCGGGACGAAGCGGCCACTTATCACACCCGCGAAAGGATCAAGTAATCAAGAAACAACCTCTACTTGCCACAGCACCTCGGATGGCCGACGCAGGCACTGGAACCATAGCTAGCCGACGAATACAGGACCATCTCCTTGGACAAGCTATTCCTTATCCAGCACCCTCATCGGCCACAAGCCAGACCTTGGCCGGCAGTGGCACCGCGAAGAAGTAAATGCCTAACATTTATACTTAGAAATTATCTAAGTACTCAAATGAAGGAATTCTAGCCGAAGCGGGTACCAGTATACTACAAAGCCGTTAGCTACCTACACCTTCACATGTGTACTTGTGAAAAATTCAAAGTCCATGAGACTATGGTGAAGGTGCCCTTATCGGCCAGAACACAGGGATACAAGCCGACAACGGCCATGGCCAGATGTATCCAAGGCCAGGACGATAAGGACGCCAACGCTTGGACGGAACGGACACTACGGTCAAGGCTAAAAAGAGAAGCACCTAAAAGGAATCCAAAACACTTAGGAAATTTTTTGAAAAAATCCTAAGTGTTATGATGGCAAAGGAACACCGGTCAAGCCGACAAGGCCACCAGGCCGAAAGGAAAGCACCTAAGTGGATCGCAAAACACTTGGAAATTTTTTTTGAAGAAATTCCTAAGTATTATGAAACTACGTCCAAGCCGATCAAGCCACTAGGCCGTAAAGACAGCAGCTACATGGACCCAAAAACACTTGGAAAATTTTTGATACAAAATCCTAAGTGTTATGACAAAGCAAAGAGGACGACCAGACTACTGGACAGGAAGGCCCACCTCACGGACGTAGCGGACTCTCGCGGGTGACCCAAGTTATGACTTGATACTTAGACAATTTACAGAATTGAAATGACAAAGCAAACAAGCATACAAGGGATTCAAGGCCGAAAAGGACAGCAAAAATTTCTTCAATTGATAAACTTCATTACAATTGGGGGCACTACGGCCGTTACACCACTTGGCAAAATATTGAAACGCTAATTACAAATGAATAATCTATCAAGCTTCGGGGGCATCACCGTCTGCGGCTGTCTCATCGGCCTCATCAGCTCCCTCTTCGTCCTCAGCTTCTTGGCCGGCAGCGGCGCTGGTGGCATCATCTAAAAAGTCAAATTCAGTGTAGTCCGGCTCGCCGAGGCCGGAGCTTTCTATGGGGGACTCCCGTTCCGACAGCGGAAGCTTGGCCTGCTCTTCGGGATCCTTCATCAGCTTTGGCAGCTTCAGGTTCCGTCTAGCCCATCCAGACGTGTAATTCATAGCCTTCAACGCCCGGGATAGCCGCCGACACAGGAGCCTTTGCATGCGCTCCTGGTCCAGGTTGTAATAAACGGACATCTCCCGGCTGAAATACTCCCGGCCGGCAGGGGAGTTCATCCCCCAATTCTCAAGCCTGGCGGCCACCACTTCGTAGCACCAGGGGAGCCTCTCATCGGCCTTCCACCCCTCGGCCAAGAACTTCTCGACGGCCTCATCGGCAGCCTTCACGACGGCGGCCTCGGTCTCAGCCTTCGCCTTGGCGGCCTCCTCGCTCCGGCGCTTCTCGGCCTCAAGCGCCCTGTGGGACTCCGCGAGCTCCCTTCTACTCTCTTCGAGTTTGACCAGGGCATCGTCCCTGGCCGCGACGGCTTCATCAGCTTTGGCCTGCAGCGCCTTGGCATCCTCCCGGAGCCGGTCAAGGCAAGCTACCGCCTCGTCGGCCGAGGCAGCCTTCTGCTCCAGCGCTTGCAGGCGGGCTATCTCCCAGTACTGCCTCTTATGGCTTTCCATAAGCATGAAGGCACTCTGCAGAAGAAAAACAAAGGTCAGGCAAAAAACTCTACATAGACGAAGAGAGACAAAAATATAAGGACAATCACTTACTTGGACGAGGAGATCCATGCCGCCCTCATAAATCTTCGGGTCCTCGAGCTTCTTCAAATGAGCCCGATCTTTGGCCGGCATGGCCTTGGCCAGGACGACGTGGCCGGGGACGAGCTCATTAAACACGCCCCCGCCGACGGGGTACTCTATCACTTTCTGATAGGTGGCACCGGCAATCTCCTTGCCGGCCCTCTGCGTCCGTGGTTCCTGAACGAGAGGAAGCGCTGGGGCGGCATCATCAGCAACAGTAAGGTCCACGACGGGACCACCATCGCCCACGCTGGGGACAGTAAGCGTACCGGCCTCACTAGCCGGAGAAGGGGAAGGAGCCCTCTTCGTCTTCTTAGAGACGCTCACGCCGGCCTTGGTCAACTTTTTCTGGCCGTCAGTGGCCGGTCTCTTTTTCTTGGACGGGGCAGGCTTTGGGGCCGCGTCAGCAGTAGCCCCGCTCCCACCAGCAGCGGCACGTCGGGCCGCCTCGGCCGCCTTAGCAGCCAGCTCTTCGGCCGCCTTGGCCTTAGCAACGGCCATTATGGAACGCCGGTCCATGACAAAGTCTACAAAGGAAAAACAAACAGATTAGTAAGGCAAAGGACAAAACGTAAAGACAGAAAGCCGAAGGAAAATTACCATCGGCCTCAGCAGGAATGCCCAAATCCGGGCCATCGGCCTCCTCAAAGGTGGTGGTCATCCTCGGCCAGAGTTGGAGGTCATCCTCCTTATCTCCATACAAGTGATATCTGAAGAAGCCGAGGGCCAGGACGATGTGCACTTCTCTCTTGGGCGGTCGGTGGTCACTATGTTGGGTCCGGTGAGATAAAGTCCCTAGGGAGTACTTTGGCAACTTGAAAGCTTATTTATCACATTTTGGAAATTTAGAATACCTATCTCTTTTTTATTCAATCTATATTTTTTAGTAATATTTATGCAAAACCCCCAACTTCTAATATGATTTCAAGATATACAATTTTTTATTGATATGATTAACATAAAAAATGACCAAAAAAGGTTAAATTTATGCTTAATCAAAACTCGTAAATCTTTTTTGCAAAATGATTTGGATCGTATGAAGTATATTATTGTTTTTTCTTGGAGTATTTAAAAAAAATGTAATGCATTTGACGACGTTCATATTATATAATCTATATATAGGAAACTTTTGTATCATATTTTTATATGTAGTACAATGCAATGTATTGTTGCATATGATTTAGATATTAAATATTTTATAACTCAATTTTACTATATAAAACAATAGATATGTGGCGAAAACTAATTCTTGTTCAAGATATAAAATGACAAAGGTTCGTTGTTTTACTCTCAAAATCTATTTATATTGTAATTCAGTAATGTTGGTAGGAAATAGCTTGAGAGAGAAAGCAGTAGCACTTCAATAAATGTTGGGAGGATGATGGCCTATTTATAGGCATCCATCACAAGTCCAAAGTCTTATCTACGTGAGCTTGGCCAAAATTAATAAAAATGTACCGAAGCTAATGAGCCTGTTGACCCGATAAATAAGTAAATGAACAGGGGTCGATTTCCGTTAGTCAGACTTTGTTCTGGGCCAGGTTGGGCCTAAGTTCGGGCATAACGGGTCGATAGTACCGGACCCGGCTCATTATCCCAACACTGGTCCCCCACTCCCTTAGTCAAGTAGTAGACTTGGATAAAAGGGGGTAGTTGAGCTGCTTTGAAAGTGGCCCGGTTGTCGGGCTAGCTAGCTAGTTGCATAGCTATCTGCTGATAATTACGATACGAGGTGTGCCCGAAAAAGGTCAATCGTGTAATTGCCCGCTATGATCCCATTGCTTGTGTACGGATAAGACCCTCCTTGTCTATGTAGCAACCCGAGGTCTTGGTTGTCCGATTAGCAGCCCGAGGTATTCCTTGGTCCAACAAGGAAGATCCCTTCCTTTGTTTATGATGAGGGGATGTCTCATTAAAACCCTACTAATAAAAATCCCAATGAGAATAAATCCTAATGAAGGAAAAGAGTACACCAGTCCCTCAAAATAAAACAAAGGAAGGCCAGTTCCCCAAGCCCGATGGTACGCAACGTTATGTTCTTCATCAGATTTGTCAATTCGGGCCGGTGACCTTCGAATTTGGGCTTTGATCTTCATATTCTTATAATAATTGGGGTTTTTTCACAAGTAGACTAAAAAGCAAAAGTAATTACAATCTGTTCGGTTTTCAAAACTCTTTTCAAAAATAGACCACTAATTTTTTTCTTTCAAAAATAGACCACTAATTTTTTTCTTTCAAAAATAGACCATATACGGAACCAACCCACTGGAACCTATGCTCCAAAGAACGATTCAGTGCGTGTCTTGTAGGCTATCTCTCTACACTTTTTTTAGAATATCTCTTTACAATATTTGTTAAATTTCTACGACCACCAAGAACGGCTATACTCACTTTTTAAATTGAAAAGATGTAAATATTTATTAAAGTGTAAAAAGATGAAAATAATTAGAATATACTAAAATATGAGAAAATTTGAAAAAAAAATCAGAAAAATGTTAACAAACATAGAGAAAATTTGGAAATACAAAAATCAAAATTAAAAATGGGAAAAGTTTGAAATAGCTTTAAATTAAGCGAAAAATTAAATGAAAAAAGGAAAAAAATAAAAATTTGATATAATGTAAAGAATCTAAATTCAATCAATATATAAATTTTACAAAGTTAAAAAATCAAAATAAATGTAATACTCCCTCCGTCCCATTTTACTTAGCCAATCTTGACTTTTCAAGTCAATGGAGTCTAACTTTGACCGATTATATGTTTATATAGAGAAAGTATTAATAATATGAAAAATTTCTTTGTTAAAAATACTATCATAAAAGTATAAAATTATTAAATTTTGCATAAATATATTAGTTTAAATAATTGGTCAAAGTTTACCATCTTTGACTGGAAAAGTCAAAGATGGTTATGTAAATTGGGACGGAGGGAGTAATATAAAATAGAAATAGAACATAATTTTTTAAAAAATATTAAAAAGCAGAAAATATAATTAAAATAAAAAATATGATGTGTGTGTGTGTAAAACTTAAGAAGAAAACTATGAGAAATGAAAAAAAAATTAAAATAAAATTAAACATTGCAACAATTGTAAAATTTAAAAACATGAATCTTGTAATTAGATTTTTAAATAGTTACAAAATGTAACAATGGTTATTATATTTTTGTCATTTATTTTTCTTGCCTATTGTTTCTTTTTTATTCTTTTTTTTTATAACTTTGAGTTTTTTTTTGTTTCTTTATGTTTCCTATGGTTAGTTTATATTCATAAATCCAAATTTATCAATTTAAGTGATCGAGTATGAAACTATATGTGATTTATTCACTTAAAAGAAGTAGCAAAGATAAACATATATAGATCTCAATAAAGTGATAAACAACAAAACTCAAAATAACTCATAAACAAGAATAAGCAACACACCTCAACAAAAAGAAACACAATGCAACAAAAAGCAACACAACGCAACAAAAAATAACACAACGCAACCAAAGAAAACAAAAGACAACAAATTAAAAAACAATACTTTCGGAGAAACAAAAAGAACTAGTAGTCACCAGTACCAGTTAGTAGGGATTTATATAAATATCCACATCAATATTGTTTTTGTCCTCAAATGTTCATGTGATAACTCTAAACTGAAAAAACAGTGTTTTTTTGGAAGAAAGTAATAAACATCCTTTTATTGTTTGAAACTACAAATCCAAGAGTGGAAATCATACATAATTTATCACCCTCTTGTACTAACATAGAAAAAACTTACAACACAAATACTTCACGGAACCTTGGGATTAGCCGAGCCAAGAAAACTTAGTTTTTGTTACAGAATACAATATATATATATATATATATATATATATATATATATATATATATATATATATATATATATATATATATATATATATATATATATATATATATATATATATATATATATATAGATCTCTTCAAAAGAACCACCATCGCCTTTGCCTGCAATTTTTCTTTTGTGTCTCTTTATTATAATAGGTTGAGAAAGCACACCATTGTCAATGTTATGAATGTATGGCTTTACCTTCTCCTCCAACATTTTGTTTAGCTTTTCTTCCCGTCACTCCCTTGGCACTAAGCATCCAGCATCTGCTCTGCAATTTCTTTTTGTGCACTAAGAAGGACTCTCATTTCATCAAGTCTTTTTGGATCTTTGAGATCTTCTTCAATCCAAGAAGTATATTTAGTGGAAGCGAAGGTTCAACTCGCCCCAATCATTAAGACGCGGTGGAGGGTCAAGTTTTAATACTTCAGCTGTTGGCGCCTTCAAGGCCCTGTAATAGGGGATGAAGAAAAAACGACATTGTTTCAATATATGTCAGTACAAATGGTCATCTAAAATCAACATAAACTTAACTAATGAATTTTACAATAATACATCATATAAGAAATGGTATAGCACCTTTTAAAACAATAACATGCACATGTGAGTAATGAAGCCCAAAGAAATACAAACAAATTTGGGAAATCTGCATCCGGCCAAAGCACCACCCTAGCTGAAGCTGCTGCCAGTCCCAAATCCGATTCCGGCTCCGTTGATGTTTGTAAGCACAGTAATTGGAGGGTTTCAGGACTTGCAAAAATTAAAAATTGTGAGAGCAACCCCCATTTTCAATACAACGGAGAATTTAAAATAAATTTCCTATCTAAAAATATTTTAATCACCTAATGTTATCAAAACGAAGAAGGCATACTCCGTATGAAATAAGGCATATAAAACGAATCAATCAGATTTCATACATGAATCTAATCTAGGGAATTATAAAGCAATTTCAATCGGATGTGTTAAGCATGATAGTTTCCATTGAAGAAAATACAGTTGCTCGGTGAAACCTTTGCTAAGAAAAAAGGAGAGAAAGCCAGTCGTCAGTGAAGTATATATGTATCGATCTTCTCAGTACCTGAGTTTGGAAAAGAACCACATCGATTCTTCAAAGATTTGAAGTGCTCTTCAAGGTGAGATTTCACCTCTTTCGTAGGTGTCACTCTCTTATCACGAGATTGAAGGCAGTCGATAGAGATGGCGTCCTTCAGATCCACGTCGAGAGTGTAGCGCGTCGGCATCACCTTGCCTGGATACTTGGCGAACCCGGTGACCAGGCAGTGGTCGTAGGGACGTTCACGAGTGCCTTCTTCGAAGGACTTGACAATAACCGCCTTCTTGCCTGCGTGTCGTCCCTGAAGGAGGGATAACCGCTGGTTAGGCTTCAGTTGGCTAATACGGATTACAGAAGATTAGACTATTTTGAAATAAATTGTTAAAAGTGAAAAGGGGAAAGATTAAGATGAAAGAAAATAGATTGTCGGCCATAAATGAAATAGAAGGAGTACAATGGTAATTTCCACCTTTTGTTTAAAATGACTAGATAGTAGTTTTTAATTTTCTGGAAGAAGGGTTCAAGTACGATTTCTCTAACCAAACAAGAGAGGCCAGGGTTATAGAAATCATAGAGGGTCCACAACGAAATGAGTGGGGGTACAAGTAGCGATGAGCTAAGTTGGGTTGGGCCAATCCACCCAGCAATTCCCACCTTTGGCCCAAGATGATTCATAACAGGAAATGGGATTTGAGGGACTCATCATTGTCGATCGAGAAACCTCCAAAATCACACAGACATTATTACAAGGGCTGGAAAGTACACACTCCCTCCCAATCACACAAGGCACATAGTAAGTAAGTTGGCTACCGAGGTAGTCAAGGAATTCTGTTCAACTTGATAACATCATTTCTTAAAGGTGAAATTTAGGCTCCATCTTGATATACCATTTTATTATTTTGTATTTCACTGGTGTGGACTTCAACACCCTTCTCATGGTCAAACGCTTCGTCTGGATTGTGCCGTCTTCATTTTTCACCGATTCGTCATTGTCATTTTTTAAAAAATCGATTAATCATTTTTCATAAGGAGCTCACACCATGATTATGGACCGCTTTGACTCTGATACCACTTTAAGATATAAGATTACATCTTAAAATGTAAACATAATAAAAGGAGTAACTCACGACTTTATTATATTATATTTTATCACTTGTGCGAAACTTCAACATCATTATGTTAAGTTTTATCATGAAAAACAAGATTAAATGCTTACCTCATTGAATAGAAGATTGGTTATATGAAATCAAAACCACATTTTGTTTAAGAAAACTAATTTTCAGAAACAAGATGCTTTAACCGAATAGTTTTTTTTGAAAGGTTTAGTTAAGGCAACACGTACTAGGTTGTACTCCCTCCGTCCCTCTAAGATTGTCTCATTTTACCATTTTGGTCAGTCCCACTACAATTGTCTCATACTATATTTGGCAAAGTTGTGTGGCTCTAAATCATTCTTACTTTATTCTTACTTTAACAATTCAATATCAAACACATAAACCAACTTTTCTTAATAACCGTGCTAGCTCCTTCCATCCCAATGTTAGTGGGACGGTGGTAGTAATAGTGTTTTTCAACTAATGCAAGCACCATACTTGGTAAACACATACAAAGTAGTATCCATTCTATTATCCTTATCCTTATCCTTTCATTTTAAAATATTTTATACTCTCAACTTGTATTTCATTTTAAATTTGTACTCTCTATTTTTTATTTTTATTTTTCGTAATTTTGCATTTTTAATGGTTGAGGTGTGAAATGAAGAATTCAGTCGGGTTTAGAGGCTCATTTGACCCTTCTTGAATTGCCACATCAGACGCACAATTGACACTTTATTGGACGATGAAGTGATGATGATTGGTTATTTACCGGCAAAAAAGTGAAAATTAAATTTTTATCAAGTTTATGGTGTAAGGTTTTAAGTTCTGAATTAATTCGGGCGGATATACCAAAAAAGGCGTTTAGATTTTAGAATGAATAAATTTAACGCTTTCGTGAAAAAGTTGTGGTGAAGCGGGAGCATGCATGCGTGCAATCTTGATTGGGAAGGGCACAATTTGACCCGCAAGTCCACAGCACGAGGGGCACATAACTATACCTAATAATTAACCCTCAAAAGTGTACATAACTAGCAACTGGTAATAATTGATGGTCATAATTTCAATTTGTTTCATAACTCTCTTAAGTAAAAAATTATTAAATAAGTCTTCTCACTGTCTTCCATTGGTTAATGGGGATCTCATAATCAAATACTACATCCGTCCAAAAAGATTGATACATTTTGATTTTTCTTGGTCAATGGTAGTAAAGTTTAAACAATGATTTTAGGTATTATATTTGTTTGTAATTTATAAAATTTATACTTTTATGTAAGATTTTTTAATAGGGAATATGTTCATATAATTTTCATATTTTAAATAATTTTGTATTAAAAGATATTATTGATCAAACTTAACCATCATTGACCAAGAAAAGTCAAAATGTATCGATCTTTTTGGGACGGAGGGAGTACAAGATAAATACATTAATACATAATCAAATGCATACTCTTAAAATCACTCAATTAATTTTTTTGAACATAAAAAAACGGATTTTTATATTAAAATCGAAATTTGACGATCCTTTTCACATTTATTACACATCCAATAGTAAGCCTTAGGAATAGATTTATACTCCGTAATCAACTACCTCATACAAATCAATTTGACTCGATAGATACAAAACGCGCAACTTTAAACCTAAAACGACTGAAACTGAAACACTGTCTAACAAAAATATTCCAAATATTCAAATATTCAACCTAAAATTACTCGAATTGAAATAAACAAAAGCGGTATGGGTGAAAATTAAATTCTTCTTCTTTATTCGTTTCAGACAGACATAGAAACATGTAGAGTCAAAAACAATTTTAATGCCTCTACCATTTTCCACGTTGCTCAAAAGAAGGTAAACAAAAACTCCTGACCAGTCAAAACCGACAGACACATCAAAACAACTCCCCACATCGAGGGATACAAAACACCATAGAACGCCAACGTCCGAGAAAGAACTGTCATAGAATAGAACAAACACAACAATAAAAGAACAATTAATCATACCCTACAAAAAATCCCCAGCGGATGCCACCATTCTCCGGCAAAGGAGCACTTTGACTAAAACAATCTTCGCCAAGATCCTTCAGCGATCCACTCGGAGCGAGGCAGCCTTTAGAGACCTTGGTCATTTATTAACAAGTTTATTAAATTTTACCAGCTTTCAGCCTTCAATTAATTAATATTTTAGGAGGATATTGACAAGTTTCTATTTTACTTTTGTAACATTATTAGTTTATTACTCTGGTCATTTAATTTACTACATATAGGAGTAAAACGTAGACAAAGGGACCGGAAAAACTCTTTTTAAAATAAGATTGATGTTTTACTCCTTTTAAAGCAATTTTTTTCTATTTTTACTTATCCGGAGTTTTTGCTGTTTTTGTTTCTTTTTCCTACCAGTCCACAATGTCAAACTTTTTCTTTGTCTTATTTAAACAAAATATAAAGATACACTCTTGACTTACGAGACCTACGAGTTATAAGACTCAATATATATCCATATACTTTCATTTAGAACAATTAAACACAAATACTTAAAAGTTAGAATGAATATATATATATGTATGTCCAAATAGTTTGAGGGGTATATATATGTTACGTAGTATAAATGTATAATAGCATATGGTATATGTATATAGTTAACGTGTCCGTGGGGTGTTTGACAAATGATTGTTGACTGTTAGCCGATTCTGTTGGCTGATTGGTGACAACGGATTCTGTTGGTTGTTTTGATTAACTGATAGTATTGACTGTTTATAGAACAGTGTTTGGTTAAATGGCTGGTTGCAATCGACCAATAACTTGTTAAATGTCTTTTAAGGATATCAATTAATTTATTTTATCTGGTACACAATTCGGTCGCAAATATTCGTCTTTCCTTCCCTAAGAAAATTTTCAAATGCACACAATTTATTCTTTCCTAGCAATTAGGAAACTCCGAGATCATTTTACTCTTCATGATGCCCAGGTCAGTATACATGGTGAGATCCTAAGCATAAACTCTTGATATTACTTTATTTTCCACCTCAAATCTATAAAGTTCACATATATATTCTAACAAAATTGACATTCAACTTATGCTCAAGCAGCAGACACATAAAGTTCATGATTTTATAAAATAAACAGGGTGGGAAATTCTCACAGCAAAACTTAAGATGCAATTATCACAGCAAAACTTAAGATGCAATTAAACAAAAGATGAGAAAAATGGTTATCTTCCAATAATCAGTCAGAGAAGAATCCAAAGCAATTAATTGGCGTACAAACCTAGATAGTTTGTTGTAGGAGAAGTGACGATGTGGAAGAGGTTGGCAGAGCTTCACCTCTGTGTTTTCTTTTAAGCTTAGGATGTGGAAGACGAAAAGAATAAAAAGAAGGGAGGCAGTACGGGTAAGACCTATTCTAGGAATATACGATAAATTTGCGAACGGCTAAGAGCTAAACGTCAGGTTCATCAGCGTTTCTTGTTTTGGCCGATTGGAATAACAAATTTGCTATAGATACCTCATACTTACCCCATTTCCTACCACATATAAATACCTCCTTTTTTACCATCCCTTTCACGCCCTTTCCAAAAACCCTTCCCTCCTCCCCCACTTTTCTTCTCCTTCCCTCTCTCTCCTCCATCTTTTCTTTTCACGCAGCCCCCCTCATCCCCTCCCCTTTCTTTTTCTTTTCTCGTTTTTACGATCTTTTCTCCCTCCAAGCTTCTTCTCTTGCTTCTCTCCTCTTCTGCCTTTTTTTTCGTTTCAAATGGAAGAGCTACAATAATCGGACTCCATTTACGATTTTTCTTCTCAAATCATGAGTTACGTACTCCATTTACGATTTTTCTTCATGTGCGTTTTTTATTTTTATTTTTTCCTTTTTTCGATTTTATGTATATTATGTATGATATAAAAGTGAATAATTGATTATTTTGTTTCATTGTAATGATTTTGAGGTGTTACCTAATTAAAATTTTAGTGTAATTTCTCTATTTCATTTTATGTCCATAACATGTTTGTAGAAATTACTCAATGAAGTTTTTGTTGAAATTCAAGACTTTTTTTTCATTTTTTGTACCTCAATGTTTAATGAGTTTTTTTATGGATTTCCAATTTAATATGATATAGTAATTTAATTGATGTTTTGGAAAAGAGTATGTTGTTTTTTTTTGTAATTTGTTTGTATTTTGTTTGTCGGACAGACAATTTAGAACCGCAGCGTTTGTCTAGCCTAAAGTGAACACGGTTTTGTCTTAAAGTCTGGGCCAATTAACTACTCTCTGTCTTATAGCCAGACAAATTTTGTCTGGTCCAGACATTAGTAGTTTGGGCCAATTAACTACGCTCTGTCTTACAGCCAGACAAATTTTGTCTGGGCCAGACATTAGTAGTCTGGGCCAATTGACTACTCACTGTCTTACAGCCAGACAAATTTTATCTGGGCCAGACATTAGTAGTCTGGGCCATTTAACTACTCTCTGTCTTACAGCCAGACAAATTTTGTCTTAGCCAGACATTAGTACAGTGGGCCAATTAACTACTCTCTGTCTCACAGTCAGACAAAAGTTGGTTGTGCCAGACAACAGTTGTCTCTTCCAGACAAATTGATAATGCCTCACATATGCTATTTGTACCAAATATGTGTTCTGACTACGTGTTGTGTATTAATCGTAGGTATTCACTTCAAGATGACGAATGACTTCAAATGTAAGGTTGAAAAAGAGTTCCAAGCGGACGCTAATTCATTTACAAAAATTATAACAAGTGTGACTTCTTTTGCAATGGAGAAATAAATGCAAGGATGGTGAAGTATATAGTGTTGGGGGGATGTGTCCGTTTTGAACTTGTGATTTTTTGAACATGTATTTTTTTCATATTACAGTTGGGAAAATGTGTTGAATATTGTACAATGTTACATGTTCAATGTTGAACAATTGGATTCAGTTTTTTGAACATGTGTAAGTTTTTGCAAATATTACATTTACAATTATCCACTTAGTGTAATTTCTCTAGTTCATTTTATGCCTATAACATGTTTGTAAAAATTACTCAATGATTTTTTTTGAAATTCAAGACTTTTTTTTCATTTTTTGTACCTTAGTGTTTAATGAATATTTTTATGGATTTCCAATTTAATATGATGTAGTAATTTTTCCAAATTTGTTTGTGCCAGACATTAGTAGTCTGGGCCAATGTACTAATTTCTGTCTCACAGCCAGACAAAAGTTGTATGTGCCAGACATTAGTAGTCTGGGCCACATTACATGTGTATGCCAAACAGACAGACAAAATAAGTCTGGACCAGACAATTACCTTCTGTCCCACCGTTGTGTTTGTTAATTTTTTCTAATGTGAATGTCTTACATTGTTTCAAGCGGTTTCAAAACCAAAAAAACTAGGAAGGAGCCTTATGGAGTGCACACAAGTGAAGCCACAAATGAAATTTATGATTTGACTATATTAACGCCCTCTATGACAATTTCAGTCAGCGAGACAGACAAAACGTATACCCTCACAGACAATACGCATACACATGACAGCGTTCTTTAGATGACAAAGGAGTGTTTGCAAAAAATAAAACAAAAAGTGATTTTGGCTGAAAAAGGTGAAATGTGTTTTTTAAGTGACAATTACTATTCAAGTTAAACACAATTTCTATTCAAGTTAAACACATAAATGTTTGGGTGAAATTCCAGAAGCACTTCTGGTGCTCTAATTTACTCTCAGAATCAGTTTTTTTAGAAGCTGGGGGTACCAACTTCTGAAAACAGATTCTGATTCTTCTTCTGCTTTAAAAAAGAAGCAGGATTAGAATCAGTTCCAAACACCCCCATAACTTTGACTTTATGAATTCGGGGATGGATGAACATGAATTCAGGGATGGATTTCGGCCCAGTCCATTTTTTTATTACTACATGCATGGGTTTAATTAACAGGTAGCCCATCCCAGCTCAGCCCACTTCTTACCTGCGGCATTCTGCGTGCAATTTGCGAAGAAACGGAAGTAGTGAAGAACGAAGCCAACCTGTGAGCGACGCTGTGAGCTGCTGCGAGGACACGAACACCGGGCCAAGCCGACCTGCGCCTCTGCGTCGGCCGTCATCCCTCTCCGGCTCTCCTCTCCGAATCCGCGCCTGGGATCTGCGGTTCTGCCTCCAGCTACAGGTGACCAGGTATTAATAAATATTACTCTTTTAGACTTTTAATTTATTATTTTGTGAATTTGTGTCATTGTGTATTATTATTTTTAGGTTTGTACATATATTTAATTATTAATTGAATTTTTCAGTACATAAATAAATACTTCGTAGTTTTTATTCATTTTACATTTATAATGATTAAAGTTAGAATTACAGGTTAGAAAATGATTTATTTATTATGCAATTGAAGATTAGAGAACTATTTATTTATTTATTTAGATTTTTTTCAAATTAATGCTAATTAATTAATTAATTACGAAAATAGTGGTGGGTTAAAAGTATTTACGGATCTACGGCTTGTTTTAACCATGGTCGGGGTAACCCTGGCGATCACCTAGTGCTAATGATACGCTGAAGATAGGGGATCTATTGAGGCTTTTGCTAGAAGGAAAGATGAAGATTCAAGTATGGAAGATCTTAATCCAGCAACTAGTCAAGTACTGGTAAAGGAGAGGTGCAAGAATAAAGTGGAAGATCATGGTTGTTCCCTATCACCCACCTTGAGGACAAGGTCGATGTTTAGGGGCAAATTGCACGCAGAAGGCCGCAGGTAAGGAAGTGGTCGGGGAGTATCGATAGGAATCGTGCCTATTAGGCTATTAATAGAAATAATAGTAATAATAAATGTACATGTAGATAATAATAAGTGTACATGTAGATAATAATAAATGTACATGTAGTATAAATGGAAGGGGAAGGGAGGAAAAAGAAGTAGGCAAGTATTCAGTTGAGTTTTGGTTAGGAGACTAGGCATCTCGAATGGTCCATAGGCCTTGTATCCCTTTTGTGATCTGTTCATCTTTGTGAATAAAGTGTTTCGATCTGTTCTTGTTTATTTCTACTGATTTGTATAATGTTCTGAGTTAGAGAATTTTAGAGCTATATTATTGGTATCAGAGCATAGGATGGACTCGCTGGAGAATAGGATGGATTCGCTGGAGAGGCAGCAGACATCGATGAAGAAGAAATTAACAGACATGAGAACGATGGCAGAAAACATCGTCAGAAAGCTAGCTGCGATGGAATAACACTTCCAGACTAGACGACGATCATGTTTGCCAAGAACATCCCTCAGTTCGCAGATGCGAACTAATTCTTCCAGATTGTCACTAACTTGTCACTAACTGAGCAGTTTTCTTCTCAATCGCGAGAAACTTCTTCCAGTTCTAGGGTTTCAACGTTGGACTATTCTTTCAGTTCAAATACATCTTCACTCGTGGAAACTCACAACTCGTCATCGCAAACCATTTCACTTAGTCTTTCGCAGGTGTCATCTCGAGTCGTTTCTCCAAGATCACAGACATCCTCACTCGCGGACTCTCACAACTCATCTTCGCAAGTCGTCTCTCACCAGGCGCAACTTTCATTGCTTGGAACTCCACCACCTACACGGAACACTGAGTTGAAGCCGACGTGATCTACACCTTCAGTTCACGAATTGGAGACAAAGGATGATACTCCGGAAGGGGCAGAAAACATTGATTCACTAGATAATCTAGAAGAGTCCGAAGAGCGCAAAGCGGATAATCTTACCTATGAAGCTCGTAGGTTTGCTAGTGCACTAGACCAATACCCAAAATATTTTAAATCTGCAATGGGTAGAGTTAATGTACTGGAGTTGGGTGTTCTAATGATTTTGCGCACCACCTTTCATCAAAGGGAATGTTGAAAGGGCTGAATCAGTTTGAGAGTTTCAAAATTGACAGTGGGAATTCTATGAAATATATCCGAAAGGGGTTGGGAGTAGGATTGACTGGGAATGATAAGGGACATATTAGGGAAATGCCATTAATTTGTATATTTGTTCCAGATAGGGGTGTAGTCTGTGACTATTAGTTTCAGATGTTATTTGCTGACAAAGGAATCAAGGGGATTCAAGGCTACAGATGACAAGAAAGATGATACATTGGATGTAGTCTATATTGGACCTCTTGTTGTTGGTCCTAAGTGGGTGATTTATAATGGAAATCCAGTTTCTATGACTGCCCTACTAAGATGCTCTTCCAAATATTTGATTAAAGATGATGATATTTGTAAGTCAGGCTGTCCAAAAGGCAAAGAGTATATTGCAGAGTTTCCTTATGCCAGATTTTTATCCATATTCGAAACAACAGTAGGTTCTGCACCATTCATGTCATTGTTTGCACCTATCAATTTTGAATTACAGGATTCCTATGGGAAAGCTTCCTTTAATAACTCTGAAATTGATTATGCCATTGTTGTTGATCGGTTAATTGATGTTCCTGCTGTTATTATTAGTCCCAGGGAATACTTCATGTCAGATACTACAACTTCAAGGAGTGGAGCAACTGAAATCCAAGAGCTTGAGTCATATTATGAGGCAAGAGTTGTTAGCAATTGGAAGATTGAGCAGTTGGTGATTAGGCAGATTGGTAAAACTCAATTCCAGCATGAACAAAGCCACCCGAGTGCTAACGATACGCTGAAGATAGGGGATCTATTGAGGCTTTTGCTAGAAGAAGGAAGGAGGAAGATTCAAGTATGGAAGATCTTATTCCAGCAACCAGTCAGTCAAGTACTAGGAGGGGAGAGGTGCAAGAATAAAGTGGAAGATCATGGTTGTTCCCTATCACCCACCTTGAGGACAAGGTGGATGTTTAGGGGGGAGTATTGATAGGAATCGGGCCTATTAGGCTATTAATATAAATAATAGTAATAATAAATGTACATGTAGATAATAATAAGTGTACATGTAGATAATAATAAATGTACATGTAGTATAAATAGAAGGGGAAGGGAGGAAAAAGAAGTAGGCAAGTATTCAGTTGAGTTTTGGTTAGGAGATTGGGCATCTCGAATGGTCCATAGGCCTTGTATCCTTTCTGTGATATGTCCATCTTTTTGAATAAAGTGTTTCGATCTGTTATTGTTCATTTCTACTGATTTGTATACTGTTCTGAGTTAGAGAATTCCAGAGCTCTATCAATCTGGACCATGGTTTTATTACCAAGTTTTCACTCTTAACGGATCGGGTTGGTGGTTTATTAGCTGATAAGGCACTCTTAGTGGAGTGGCTCAGTGGTGTATTGCAAACAATAACAAGAAGTAGATAGCCCCATAAAAATTACCTGCCATGTATAATTGCGAGACGCTCTTTACCTGACAACTATTTTAATTGTGACATTGCTCATTAATATGATATCTATTTTTTGGGGAAGGTACCCCTCTTGATGGTGAATCAAGGAGCAAAGAAGCGCAAAGAAGAGAACATCCGGCATATGAGGACACTCCATCACACAATCCTTTTCTGTAACGTAGACACTTATTCTTATAATTTCACTATTAAATAGTTGCAAAAAATATTATTTAGTTTTTTCTTTTCTTCTGTTAAGTGTTAACTGACTGTCTATTTTCGTATGCTTATATAGGTTGTTTATCTCTTGGTGAGATTTGGGATTTTCTACTCTAGTTTGTCGTGGATGCACGGGGGTGGGCTAGTATTCACTTCTATAGCCTACTTTTTGCCTTACCAACAGTTGACCGCCATGGCTAAGCCTAGTTACGGCTCTGATGGCGAACTCCTTGACGGAGGATATGATATGAGTACTGGAGGAGTTTGCGGGTACCTTTGTATTTGTTTATATAAATTAAGTAGCAATCCTTTAATTAGGTATTCAGATGGTTTCTAGTTGATTTGTGTTAAGTCATCCACGTCGGCCTAATATAAAGATATATATTTTGGGCTGTTTTCCTATCCGCTTGAGCTTCTAGATTGAGATTTGAGTCTCAATATCTTGTATCATATATTCGCATATGATATGATAATAAAAAAACAAGATATTGTTTAGTTTCAAGTAAAGTAATTACGATTTTATTTTTGGTAGATTGATTATGGTGCCCTTTTTTGCCTTCCGTATGATATCGTTTGTTACCAGCTCTATTCTATGGTTTTGTTTCTGTTTTAAGTCCAATTGTAATTTGATTTGTTATAGCAAAAAACTACTTTGTTATTGTCTTGTTGATTCAGAAGAAACTTATTATTAACTGCCTTATCTCTATGAAAAGTGTTATCCCAACAAATTGTCTTCCAAAGCACAATGGTGAAAGAAGGAACATAGAATTGAAATGGGAAAAAATCTGTTAACAAAGTCCTTTCAGGGTCCTTGCAAAGATATACAGCTGAAGTAATTTATGCTTGTTTTTGAATGCCGTTAAATGGAATTGGCTTACATTTGGTTTATTCTTGCAGATACTTGCATGATGTAATCTATATCACCTGTTTTGTTCAACTTGCATCTATCTTGTCGGGCAAGTTTTGGTACACATACCTAGTGGTAAGCTTCACATTTTCTTTTTTCCCCTTCCTAACAAACATCAGCTTCATTACAGTGTCATTGTTAATTAGGCATGTAGTTAGTAAGATTAAGTTTGTACTTTTTCTGACGCGTAGCTTTTAAACTAGTACAAACTCGCCAACCTTTAATAGGTTGCCAGAGATAGAGCCATAGAGGTTTTCTTATGCAAGTGAATGTGCTACACATTTTTTAGTGGCTTTCTTAATGAATGCAAGTGCCGTAATGATAGGAACTCAATACGACAGCCAGTTCAATTTTATAATAAAGTCTACCACAGGAGGAGTAGAAAGGCAGTTAGTCATGACTAACTAGCATGTTAGTTTTGTTGTTCCCTGCGTGGACAATTTTACTATAAATAGAAGCTTATGAACTAGAAGAAGGAGGCGGTTAATTTGTCATTGGCTGGTAGCTTGGAGATTGGGCATCTCGAACTGTCCCACCCCTGTACTCCTTTACCGAGTTTCTCTCTCTCAATAAATTGTTGTGATCTGTTCTAGCTACATTTTCCTTAGAATTGTGATTGTTCTGTGTTCATTACTACCAGTGTTCTATCATGTAATCTACTGGTCAACTTTTCCTTTTGATGTTGATGAGTGGTACCTGCATGAGTGCATGTGAATGTGCATGGATTTTATGTTTTGTATATGAAGATTTGTATGTGCAGTATACAAATCATCTGGATTCCTGAAAGGATTTTTGTCAAGTGGTTCTGAGGTACATATCTATCAAACCCTGTTTGGTTATCATGGGTAGTATCTTACTATTTGCTCTTGATTTTCTATGGGGGTTGCTAATGGTTTCGCAGAATGCAGAAGAAGATGAGAAGACTCAGAAAAAAAGAGAGAAGATGGAAAGAAAGGCTTCAAGAACTAAGTTTGTCAAGGCGAAAGGCCGATGATGATGCACTGTCATTGAACAGACCAGTTGATGCTCTTTACGGTTGTGATTGCTGGTTTAAACTTGTAACATTATACTCCGTAGTTGTCAACCTGACCTGACCATCTGGAGATGTATTTCAAGTTTTTACATTTGAATGGATAAATCAATGTTTTTAAATGTTTTAATAGGAAAATTACATTTACACACAAAATTAGTACACAAATTGTACACGCACCCTATAGGTAAGAATTGGTGTTTCTCCCAAATTTTACGTACACTAGAATTGCTTTTTTGCCAAACAATTAAATTTTAACCTTTTCTCTAAATCACATTTGTTTTCCGATCATCACCAACTTTTATCTTCAAACATTTTCTCTATGATCCAGAATAATTATTTTTTAGAAGCACAAACAACCATAACAATGCCATAATTTCACTTTGTTACACACTCATGCTTTGATAGTTTGATTACTTTGATATGCAGCAGGGTCTTTCGTCCATTACAGACAAATAGCTTGGTGATTTGTAGTGTCATTCATTGTTATTATTAGTTTCTCCTCAAGTAATTGATCAAGATAATTATTGTTGTTAGGATTGTTGTATGGTGACAACTCTGGTACCCATTTAAAAAAAATGGGGTACCGTACCTACCATTCATTTGATTGGTCCAAATAGGTATATCATTTTTAATTTAGAATTAAATAATTCAACTGCAACATTTTCATTGGTCCATGTGGACAAAGGTATGGTACCTTATGGATACCATAGAATCTATCTTGTTGTATATTCAATTGATACAATTTTATTCTCGGTATTAATTTAAAGATAATTATAGACCTTTCTTTCTAAGTTATTTATAAATCATTATCGACCAAGTCAATGTAATCCATTGATAATATTCATTTTATTAATAAAAAGTACAGAAAAATTAAATGAAAAGGATTGATTTTTCCTGCAAATTAATATCAATCTTATTTTAAAATAATGATTTCAGTCTTATATATTTAGTGTGTTTAATGTGTCACAATGTTGAGGTGAATTGTGCTTCCACCTCATCAAATGTAGACCTTAAGTTTTAGATTTAAGAGCTCTACATAATTTAATGTATCATAGAAAATAAATGTCATAAGCTGGAACCTTCTCCTAGTAAGTTTTTGATTATGTAAGTTATTCATTTGTATGTTTATTTGGGGCATCTCCAATGCTGAGGTGAATTGTGCTTCCACCTCAGCAAATGCAGACCTTAAAGAGAAACGTCTATTCCGATGCAAAATAAAATAGACAATATTGAGCTGATGTGGCATTTAATCAATTGGAACGCAGTCCAACACAAGGTCCACATATGGACCTTCGGTGCAACCTCCTGACATAAAAAGTGGGTCTACAATTACTTTTCTCTTTGTTTTCTTTTGCTTTGCATTTGATTTAGTTCATCCGCATTGGAGGTCTCATTTAATTGACCATCTATTTTTATCAATACTCGACCCACTTTTTTAAATAGACATAGATCAAATTTTTGCCACTTCACCTACAATAGACTAAGAGCATTGGAGATGCTCTTTGTCATAAGAGTGCCTTCATAACTAATTCTAAAGGGTTATTGATTTCAATAGGAACTCCAATTACATGTGCTCACACATGTATTTGTGCGTTGTCATTATTTCATATTTCCATGCGTAAATAAAACTAAATAATATTAGTAAGAAATTTTGTTTTTGATAATTTTTTATTTTCAATTTTATGTTAAATGTTACTTCGTATTTGTTTGTTAAGGACTAATCATTTATTAGTTTGATATATTCTGTCCCATAAAATTTAACCAAACTTTCTCTTTATGTTGTCTAACAAAGATTTCTCATTTCAATTTAGTTTAATAAATATGTGACTAAGGTAGCTCTTCTGCACAAATATCAGACACACGGTTTTTACTTTACTATTTTACGTGCAAGTCAACTTGTTAAGTTTTATGAGACGGAGGGAATATTATATTTTATGAGTTAATTGTTTAACAATATAATAATAACACATAATAATTGTTGGGATATATAATCCTGACCTATTACTGTTCAGGAGCCTAAGACTTTACGGAGTACGAAGCCCAATCAGTAAGGCCCATTTTAGCCTATCAGACATGTTTCGGCCTTTGGGCCCATTTCTGCTCATTCGGCTCGTTAGGGTGGAGAGCCCCCCTCCATTTATCTATAAATAGGAGGAGTTCCTTCCTTATCAAGGATCCGTTTTAGCTTCTTCTTCCTCCCCTTTTAGAGCTAGCTTCAATACTCCATTAATGGAAGCTTGTACATTGTAGTGGTGAGGAGAGCATTAATAAAATGCGAGGGTTTGAACATTAGCCTAAACAGTCTCGTGGTTTTCTCTCTTTCCAGATTTCCACATAAAAATAGCTTGTTTTACATTGTACTATCACCCTATAGCCACGAAACCCTTCCAGAAGGGGTGTTGAACTTTCGGGCTGCGCCGAATAAACTCAACATTAGCGCCGAACGTGGGAAACTGTCCAAAAAGATTCATGTGTTATACTATTCTTGAGTTTCTACACAAAATTCATACGCAAAGCAACTGATTTTCGACTAGGAAGAGAAGGGAAAATGGTTCTTGAAATGCCTGGGGATGCAGCAAGGAAGGAGAGGAATTCCCCCAACCTGAAGAGGCTTGCCGAGTTCCGACCTAGCTCCGGCCAAGAGATTTTCGCCTACTGGGACATGTAGTTCTAAGACGGGCAGATGCAAACCATATTCCCAGAATACCTTTCCCAGGAAAAGTAAAGGCTTACAAGTAATGTCAAATCAAAACCAATCCACTGCCTGCTGCAAGCCTATAACGTGTTGTGGTGTGCAAGGTGTAGACTGCGACATCATATGTGGGCCAACAGCCATACAAACAAAGATTCTATTCTATAACAGCCCAACTTCCTTTCACCTTCTTTTCCTCTTTTCTTTTTTCTCTTCTCCCCCTCCATGTGCCCAACATTCTTCGGCCTCTTTTCCTCCTTCCTTCTCCCTCGTAAATAACTCTCTTTATCTCCTTTTCTTCATCTTTTTCTTTTCTTTTCTTGTTTTCTTCATTTCAAAAGCTCTCACTTTTTTTTGCAGATCTAAATCCGCACAGAAAAATAGGAGTCACAACTGAATCTACTTTGCTCTCTCAAATATTATTCATGAGGTAATACTTTATTTCATATTTTTTGTGCATTCAGGATTATATTTTTTCCCGTTTTTTTAATTTTATTTATACAAAACATGTTGTGGTGATGTTGATGAATGTTTATTATAATTTAGAATTTTATTCAACTGTTATAGCTCACTTTTATGCCTATTAAGTGTTTGTTGAAATGTTTCAATGAGATATAACTATGTATAATTGTTTTTTAGTTTTAATTTAGCTCATGGTTTTACTGAGATGTCTGTGTAGTTTGTTGTTATACAGTTGTACGTAGCAAAGTTGTCTTTATGGTTTTCCGGAAATGTCTGTGTAGTGTGTTCTTATATGTTTGTGCATTTTTATTTATCTATATGGTTTTCATGAGATGTCTGTGTAGTCTGTTCTTATATGTTTGTGCATTTTTTAGTTGTCTATATGGTTTTCCTAAGATGTCTGTGTAGTCTGTTCTTACATGTTTGTGCATTTTTATTTGTCTATATGCTTTTCATGAGATGTCTGTGTAGTCTGTTCTTATATGTTTGTGCATTTTTTAGTTGTGTATATGGTTTTCATGAGATGTCTGTGTAGTCTGTTCTTATATGTTTGTGCATTTTTAGTTGTCTATATGGTTTTCATGAGATGTCTGTGTAGTCTGTTCTTATATGTTTGTGCATTTTTTAGTTGTCTATATGGTTTTCCTCAGATGTCTGTGTAGTGTTTTCTTATATGTTTGTGCATTTTTAGTTGTCTATATGCTTATCATGAGATGTTTGTGTAGTATGTTCTTATATGTTTGTGCATTTTTTAGTTGTCTATATGGTTTTCCTCAAATGCCTGTGTAGTTTGTTGTTTTATGTTTGTGCTTTTTTGAAGTGTGTATATGATTTTCCTGAGATGTCTGTGTTTGTGACAAATGTCTGTGTTAATATTTTGAGGATGGACTATGACAGCTGTCTATTTGGACCTCCCGTTGATACCGAGGTGCGAGTACGACAACATGCGCAATAAGAGGTGTGACTTCGCTAAATGACTTTCGAAGATGCAAGACAACCCGCCGATGATGTACACTGATGAAGAATGATGTACAATGATGTACATTTTATATATATGTTTAGTTATAAATACATTGGTGGTAACCTAATTTTTTGACATACAGTGGTGCTTAGGTGTAGTATTTTGTACAATATCGGTCTGTATCGTATAAATACATTGGTGGTAACCTAATTGTATGCTAGAAGTACAAACACATTTACAAAAAAAATTACAAACAAGTGATGTGGCTATTCTAATTACCATTGATGTAAAAGTGTTGTAAATGTGATGTGATGTGTTAAATAATGAGATGATGCCACATACTCCTTTTGTAAGACTTTTTGAAGTGTTTGTACCTCTAGCATAACTCATTCAGATTACATGTCCATATGAGATTATTTCAATCCTAAAGTTACAACCAACATCGTCTCTGAATTCTGAAGTTTTTCTCTTAACATCATTGTCATCCTTCCAAAAAAGAACAACCAACATGCTCTGTCACGCCTCGGACCTACCCGGACACGTCAACAACCCGTCGTACAGTACGAATAGTCAACCGCAGTCCAACTCATCCATACTATACAAGGCGTCTTGAATACCATTCACACATAGTACATCCATAAACAAACATAATGTAAAACATTTATTTAAAACAGCGGAAGCATTTAATAAAAGTGTCTTAGCCACACTTTGGCAAACATGGGCATGCAAGCCCCCCAAATAGTTGTTCAAAAATAATATCCATGAGTATTATTATTATTGTTTTGAAATCAGAAAATAGAAGAAGCACGAACCACGTCTTCTACCCTGAATATCCCGAGCAACGGGCGCCGGTAGCAACCTTCAAGTCCTACCTGAAACTGTGAGGTGGCCTCCCCCGTGAAGGGGAGGTCAGTACTTGGAAGTATTTGACAAGTACAATGACAACTATACTAAGTATAATCAACGTTTTAATTTCCAAGACCCTCAAAATAGGGTGATATCATAATATAAATCATAATTTATATTTCCCACTTATTATCCTTATAATAAGTAAATTCA